AGTCATCTTTTAAAACTTGCCAGGTACCATATATATATATATTACAATGTAGGTGTCTGAAAAGGCAAAATAAACCCAGTTAATGGACAAGAGGGAAGCTTGAATGACCTTGAATGATATCTAATAGCTTGTAAAGTGTTATTCAAATTTGCATAGGTGTTTATGCATATTTTCTGGGTCAATTATTCATAGCTTTTGTCAGAGCATCAAAGGATTAAGAACCACTGCCTGATCATCCTCTGTCATTCTCAGGTCAAATTATAACAAGCCAACCTGGTTAATTCAAATATACAATTATTTGATCTCTAATTTGCCACTTACTATAAACATAGTTCATTTACATAATTTATATGCAAGGCTAGACCGCCTTTTGGCAGCTGGAAAATACCAAAAGCACTAGATGTTTTTCCAAAGAAGTAAGTTAGGCAGTTTGATTTTTAGTTCTTTACCATGTCTTCTATGAAATATAAAGTGGTTTAAGTCTTCCAATACTCAATAAAATAAGCATATGGAAATTGCAGAAAAAAAATCTTTCAGTATAGTATTAATAAGGTTATACCACTAAATTCAGAAGAATAAGTCTTTTAGATTCATCTCTGGAAAACTTCCTTCAGGCTTACTAAAGACCCTTGCTATCCAGAAAGTCTTTTTCAACGTGGGATCAAAACTTCTGTTTCTCTTGCAAATGATTTCCTCTTTACAATGCTCTCTGCTCTCTTCACTGTGGCTTGATATATTTCCTGTCTTTTAATTTCTAGATATACCACCTTTGAGAATATTCTCCCTAAGAAGAAAATGTCAGCCTTTCTCTGTACCCTTACAGCCAGAGATACTTTTTAACAAATATTTATGCAATGCCTGTAATCACCGATGATACAACAGTGACCAAACAATATTCTCACTTTCATGGAGTTAGTCATCTACTAAAAGATAATAAACTAAGAAGCACATAATACATAGGAAAGATAATAAATGTTCTGAAATGGGCCCTGTGTGGTAGCCTAGCAGCTAAAGTTGTCACCTGCTTATGACCTGGGAAAGCAGTGAAGGATGGCCCAAAGCTTTGGGACCCTGCACTCATGTGGGAAAGCCAGAAGCAGCTCCTGGCTCCTGGCTTTGGATAGACTAAGCTCCAGCTGTTGAGATCACTTGGGGAGTGAACCAGCAGATGGAAGATCTTTTTCTCTGTCTCCCCTTCTCTCTGTAAATCTGACTTTCCAATAAAAATGAACAAATCTTTAAAAATTAAATAAGTAAAAGTTCTGAAAAAAAAGGAATTCACATAAACAAAGTCGGTTGTTGTGGTCAGCCAGTATTGAAAAGTATTTTTTTCATAGTCTCTGTCATGACTTTAATGAACTTCATATAGAATGCTAATTACAAGAATCTCCTATTTATTTTCATTTTTATTTTAAAACATTTCAAGCATTACAGAAAATTTTATGGAAGAAAATTTTATGTATATTTACAAATATACATACATTTAGCAACTAACTTTTTGCCATATTTACTTCATCTATAGTTCCTTAAACTTTTTAAAGTGGAATTAGATATATTAAATCAAACAATCTGGAATTTATACCAATGATCCCAGAACGAGGAAAAAGGATATATTATTATAAAAGGTGTATGATGCAGTGAACACAATGTTTATAAATAGCTTAAGTACCAACTACTATTACACTCATGCTTTTTTTTTACTATACATGTGTTACATGATGCATGTGAAAGAAAAATTAAAAGTCCTCCATGACAGTGTGATGTTTGGATGAAACTCATATTTGAGTGAGGGAGACAGGTGGCTATTTAAGGAAAGGATATTAAAGGAAGAAACAACAGCAAATGCTCAAGCTTGAAGGCAGGGACATACATGGGATGTTAAAAGAGAAGGAAAGGAAGAACAAAAGGTGTGTGGAGAGGGCAGAAAATACAGGAATTAGGTCAAAAAATTAGCTTGATATCAGCTCAAGTTTTTGTAAGCTTTGTCAAGGAATTTTGGCTTTTATTTTAGTGTAATGAAAGCATTGGGAAAATTTGAACAAAAAGTTATTTGATCTTATTTCTGTTTCCAAAATCTCACTTTCAGTGTTCAGTAAAGTCACAAGAAACAACTGAAGAAGCCAGAGCCATACCCCGGGTGAAGACTGATGATGCCAACAGGTCTAAGGGCAACTGCAAATACACTGGAACGAAAACAATGAGTATTAGCTGCTTTGAGGAAGCATATTCTTCAAGGGACCAGAGAAATGGTTGGTTCACTGGAGAAAGCAGTATTGTCAAGAAAAAATATGTCTGGAATATTTTACAGCATTCTTTATGCTGATGGAATGACTCAGTAAGACAAAAATACTGAGGCTGTAGAGAAGCTGCTTGTCATATCCTTTGGTAGATAATAGACCCAGAATTGACAAAAATGAGTTGGTCTTGGGGATGGAGACAATTCAATTAATGTGGTAGACAGGAATACAGATTATCTGGAGCAGACCCAAATTTGCAATAGAAATGGTGGCATCTTGCATATGGACAAAGGAGAAGGAAAGAAGTTAAGAGTAATCATTTACAATATACAATATATTTGACTGAACAGCAGCATGTTTATATGAGGCCAGCTGAGCAGCCCTAAGATTATTTTGACATTCTTGTTACGGAGCATAAACCAAGTGGGTTTGTTAATGTGCTTAATACCAATCTCATTTGGTCACTCAAACACGAGGATGAAATAAAAAGGAAGTTAAATCTAACTAGAACAGAATCTTCTTAAGTGAGTTTGGTGTAAAAAGCACAAGCATGTCAGAGCAGCTGAAAGTGAAATAAAATGATAATTTGCAATGATGGACTGTAGAATAATTCAACAAGGGAGCTAGGTGAGTGAAATGTGTTACCATGATAGGCGATGAAGATAGTAGGGCCAAAGTGCCAAAGATTTATTAAAGTAGAAATGCTAAGGGATGTGACCTGGAGGGAAAAGTGACAAAGAATGGGGCCCTGTTCCTTGAAGTTTTGCTGCTGGTAGAATATTTGTAATGACGGGAGTGTAAAAGTGTGGGTTAATTGGAAAACAAGATCATAGTTAGGCATTCAGACAGGTGTAAAGAAAAAACACTGTGAGACAAAATTGGCCAATTAGCAGGATTTTGAGGAAGATCAAGAAATTTTTGAAATCTGTCCAACCATGACAACACTCAAGACACAATGAAAGCTATCAGACAGGACTGTCGTTCACTGTTGCTGGGAACAGGCACCCCAGCCCTTCTTCCCCATGCAGGTCCTGAGGCACAACTCTAGGTTTGTGTATTTTCTCCTTGTCATGCTCACCCAAAGCATGGATATTGCACTGTGCTTCCTGCTTCTCACCATATATTTGCTAATCCAAATCGTACATATGAATGTCTGGTAAAAGAGAACTGGTCATAGTATTGGGCTCCAGTTCTAAAGGCAATTTTAAAAGTAACTTTCTGGACTCTACCTTGGGGATATAGCATATAACAACAAAAACTTTCCAAATGTAAGGGAAGTATTAAGAATTGTACAGCCAGCACAAACCCAAATAACTCCAAGTCTTTAATTATTTGTTATATTTGCAGCACTTTTCACAATACATAACAAAAAAATGGTAATGCATTTTTTTTAGTAACTGGATAACAAATGAATTTTATTAGGTATAGCTACTTTTTTTCCCTCATAATTTTGATACCTATCACCTCAACTTAAACTGTATAAGTAATGCTCATTAAAATAGTTATGTCTTAGAGCATTACAACACTGCTTTAAATCTCTGGGATGATTCTGTAAATGAAAAATTTGGGAAGCCAGAATCTCATTCATGACGTTGCAATTGTCTTAAGAAGGTGTCGGGCATCTGATGCTGTTTGGGAATGCAGACTAGAGAACTTAGTCATTTAAAAGATATCTGCTGGGTTTCTATGACAGATAGTCATGCTTACAGGGGTTGGGCCTACAGCAATGAACAAAAAATAAAACTCCCTGTTGGAGTACAAAGGATCTTTTCTATATTACGGTTACCTTTTTCCCCCCAAGATACATTATTATAGGTTTAGAGATTTGCTCCTGCCCTCTCCTTTCTCCCTTCCTATTTTCCCTTCCTACCATTTTCCTATACATTATTACACTACGAAAGTCTTTTAGTAACTGTTAGAGGTTAAACAATTTTCTACTTTAGTATAGCACGGGCGTTTTAGGCATAGACAATAGTAGAAACTCTAGTACCATATTGTTAAGGTACATTAGATTTACTTTTAAATGATTATAAAATTGAAAGAAACTTGTGGTATTATAGTAAAGTGTAAAAAAAAATTAAACCACTTCTGACCTCACTATGAAAATTCTTTTTATTTTTGATATACATTCTGGCAATTACTTTCTAATTATATAATATAAACATTTTATTTGCAAAACAGAATTTCACCTGAACAAAGTTTTCTGCCTATTTTGATTCAGTTGACATTATGGATTTTCATAAATATTCTCCAATGTCATTATGTCATTTTCACAACATACTGGAGTGTGTAAATATTATTCTGGCTTATAAAAATGTTGTGACCAAAAAACCCTGTTTCTTGATCATTTAGGCAGTTTTCAATTTTTCATTGTTATAAACAATGCTGAAATGAACATCCTTGGATATACATATGTACACATGTCCCTGATGATTTTTTTAAAAACTGTTTCATAAGTGGGCAACTCTGGGATGAATACAGTAACCACATTTTGAGATTGTTAGTATTCATGCCAAATTTTGCTCCAGAAAAGTATTGAACCAATTTCATTCTCAGTTGCAGTGTGTATGAGAGAGCCTATTTCCTGTATTGTAGCAGATTCTGATCTTTTGACTATTAATCAACTTGTGGTGATTCAGCCCGTGACTCTCCACAGTAGGGAGAAAGGTAGTTGGGCAGCTGTCACTACATGATAAGTCAACAGATCATTTGATAAGTACCATTCATCTACAAGGATTACCCTCCACCCAGTGGGGTCCTTACCTGCACCATGCTGATAGAAATGCTTAGGAAACTCCTAAAGGAAGAAATAAGAAAAAATGCAAAAGCATCAGTAAAACTTCTTTTTTCATTATTACCAATTCAGTTAGTTTGTCATTGATAAGCTATGTTAATTACAATGAAAAACACCTTTGGACAGTGTTGACCCTGACACGCAGAAATTTGTTCTCCAAATACACAGTTCCCAGTGTAATCAAGGGCAAGTGAAAACATGGTCAAGAGAGCATTATCTTTAAATAAGAAACTTCAAATAACTGGGAAAGTAGGTTTCACATTTTGGGATAAGCACATCTTTTCAAGCATGGAAGTCCCAAAGATGACATGAAATTTGAATGAGTCATCATTTTTCTCATATGATTCTTCCAGTTTCCAAACTATAATGGTCAAAGTTTGTCAATGAATACCAAATGTCAGAAACATCACAAACACAAGCTTACTCAATACTAATAATGTTAGGATCAATTGCCCCATTTTACTATTATGATCCAAATACTGACTAAGGCAAGAGTTAATCTTTGATAGATCTGGTGAAATCTGCTTCACTGCCAAGAAAGCACATGTGTAAGTTACTCCTGTGCCAAAGCGTTTCTTGACATGTGGCCACACTAGGAGTTAGCATAAGGTCTGAGACAGTCTCAGTGTCACTTGCCTCAAATTAAGAATCGATCCCCTCGAATTCAGAAAACTGTTATCTAAGCTCCCACAGAAACAAGGAGAGCCTAGCTGATTGTCATGAGATGGGAAAAGCATTCAGAGAAACACTCCTCATTGCTTTTATCAGCACTAACAGGACTCCCCTCTCTTCTTGAAAACCCAAAATGCACCAGCCTTTATCCTCTCCTGGCTAGGTGTCCATAACCAAAACAGAGGGTACAAACCCCCATCCTCAGTCCCAAGCAAGCCCTCTCCCTCTGTATCCCTCTGCCAAACAGCTGCCAGTTACGAGCTGCCTGCACAATCCTAGTACAAATCATCCTGCTTCCCCAACAATTCCTTCTTCCTGCTTGGCTTGAGCTTGTGCTCACTAAATCAATCCTACCTCAACAAACTCCAAAATTAGCCCCTGGCTTCCTCTTTGGCCTCAACTTTCACTGTCCATGCTCTGGAGGCTACACCTCCTCCAACTGTTCTAACTGGTCCTTTACAGTCTCACTGCCTCAGCCTTTGTCTCAATAGAGCCAGATCGTTACACGTTCCTCTGAAAAATGGCTTCTTTATTCTTGTCAGGACTCAGATTGAGCAGTTTTTAGATAAGAGCATTGTACTGTATCAATTCCTGTAGGTGCCCCTTGTTTGATCTTCCTAATATTTTTCAGGAATAGCTCCTATTATTTCCTTAATTTACATGCAAAAACTGAGGCACAGACAGATTCAGTCATTGCTAGGATCTGAATGTTCTGTCTTTGCGAAATTCAAGTTGAACTTTAATCTTTGATGCAACTCAGAGTGGGATGATGAAGCCACAAGGATTGTGTCCTTACAGATGGGATTATATTGTCTTCACAAAATGGACTGAGGGAGTGAATTTGTTCTTTTTACTCTTCCCTCATGTGAGGATCAGGTACCATCTCTAGATGCAGATTCCCACCCCCGGCCCCCCGCCCCCAGACACCACATCTGCCAGTGTCCAGATATTGGACTTCCAAGCTTCTAGATTGTGACCAGAATGTTTGCTGTGGACAAACCACTGATTCTAAGGTACTTTTGTTTAGCAGCAAAAGCAAATCAGGACAGTGACTTGTCTAGCTCTTACATAATGGAGACAAGATTTGAATACAGATCTCCAGAAACCAAACTCATATTTTGTTCCATTTCATAATACTGAAAAAAGTAAATATTTTCAAAATGAAAGTGTTCCCTCCCTATAGCTTGATCTAGTAAATCTCAGGTGAATGAAAAATATCTGAAAGATATCTATTGGACATGAGGGTCACTTGTGTCCAGTAGTTGACACCAGATCAAAAGAGGGCCTCATGGATTAGAGAGCCACTACCTTGCACATTATCTTCAATGTCATACAGAAAGAACAATCTAAAAGCAGAGGAATATCCAAACAGCTCTCAATAGAGGAAAGAATTGACTTACACAAACCTTGGCATGCATAAAGGAATTATAAAAGCAAACAGAAGATATTTCTCTCTGTCTCCCTTTCTCTCTGTATTGTCTTTCCAACAAAAATAGATATTTTTAAAGATTTATCCATTCCTATTGGAAAGGTAGGTAGACTGAGGGAAGGAGAGAAAAGGCCTCCATAAGCGGATTGACTCCTAAAGTGGCTGCAATGGGCCAAAGTCAAGCCAATCCAAAGCCAGGAGCCAGAAGCCTCTTTGGGGTCTCCCACACGGAGCAGGGTCCCAAGGCTTTGGGCAATGCTCCAATGCCCTCCCGGGCCAAAAGCAGACAGCTGAATGGAAGTGGAGCCACCAGGGCACAAACTGGCGCCCGTATAGGATCATGGTGGTGGCAAGGCAAGGATTTAGACACTTAATTATCATGTGGGGTATAAAAACAAAAAAAGTTTAAAACAAGGCAATGAAGGTTAAAGTAATCTTTGTAATCTTCCCTAATCTGACATATCATTGAGCAAAATGGTAAGATTTCTATTTTATAGTCTTACATCATATAAGATTTTCAAAACTTTTGGTAAAATTCTCTTTTGTTTAGGCTAAGCAATATTTTTTTCTTAGATGCATTGCAACAGTTATATTTACTGATTAAAATAAACATTTGGAATTGCATAAAGATGTTATGGCATATGTATCAATATATAGTCTTATAATTGACAAGGCAAGTTTACAGAAATAGAAGAGTCAATTTCTGGGACAGTCATTATACCATGCAAAATACTACCTGAATTTTATTTGGCTTTAAGTAGACGCTGTGCTGTACTATGAATAACAACACTATCAGTCCTCAAGTTGGCACACAAATAGTGTAATCACTCAAGCCACTGCAGGAGTTACTTAGAAAGCAAATGTGATAGCATTTATCATATTGCTCCCTGTCTATAAACAAAGAAATTGTATCTTTCTTGTCTACAGCATTTTCTTAAATGCCATTTAGCACTAGCAAGAAAAATTGAATAGTAACAGTTTCAGAATCAGGATTAGCATTTAAGTTGTTGCTAAGCATTTTTAAACATAGGGGAAGTAGCCTTTAGTCCTTGTCTGAAGTAATGGAAGAAAAAGGACCCTTTTGCAAATCATGCTTATCTCTGTCTAGAAATTACATTATATGCTACTTCTTCCCTCCACATCAAAGAAGGCTTGCTTTCTTATCTAATTTTGTCTGCTGCAGTCATATTTTCAAAAATTTGAATTAGTGAGAACCACTATATTTTTGAATGATATAATCTTTATGGGTTGAATAAACCCTGGTGGTTAGTGAATCAACATGTAATAAAATAAGTCCCAGAGAGGCCAAAGGTGACTGGTTTTAGCATTTCTTTTCCAATAATGTTATTTTCCTAATTTTACCACTAATATGTTAAAGCTGTATTTATACATACCTCAGGGAGAAAAATCTAAGGTAACAATATTCGTTTGACTTAGAGGCTGGTCCAAAGAAGAAAGCTTAGAGTAAATGCAGTATAGTTCAGATGCCAAGGCAATGAGATAAATTTTAAAAAACAGTGTGACTGTCAAAATAATGTAAATGGTGCTTAAAGTATTTGGAGAAGTAATACCTACAATGAACAAATAAAATAAAAATATTTATCAGTAGAAGGTATTAAATTAAAGATATATGAAACACAAGAAAATGTGATACATTTCAAAATTAAAGAACCGATGCAGGAGGGACCAAGAAGGCTGATTAAGAGGAGGTGCACTGACCTCAGCCACAGATACACAGTGGAGAACATGCAGAATATAACTGAGACTCCGTGGAGAAGTGAGGAAGGACAGCTACACAGCCATCCACTCCACAGTGCCAGTGGCTCCCAAGTATTTATGCCTGCCACCCTGCTGGGGAGTGCCTCTTCTCGGGCAAGATGGGTGCAGATGGCCCTAGCTTATGCCACTGACAATTTTGATTGAGAAAGAATTCTGCAAACCTCACTGGTTTTGAGTCTGGGTTAGGGAACTGACAAGGAAGTGAGCAATTTCTTTAGTCTCCAAAAGGAGTTCATGTTGGTTATTTTGCTTCCCCCACTCAAATCACCATTCTGATTAGGATGAAGTGGTGCTGTAGCCAATTTCTGTCCTGATATAGAAAACAGAGGCATCGTGTTCCAGAGATGGGACAGCCTGCAAGATGAAGAGCAGATTTCTGTACTCTGTAACTGTGGGAATTCTAGGAATAGACCACAGAGCAGAGAGGGATCCTGTGCATCTGTGTGGTCTGACAGCAGAAACTCAAATTTTCCTAAGCAATGGAGACATATCTAATTGAGGTTTCAGTGGCCATACCATGAAATGCTTAGTGCTCTGTGTGGTACCTGTGCCTGCCTGTTTAGAATGCATAGACAACATGAGCTCACTCTAGACAGTGAATCATCTGATTTGCCTTGACAAAAAGAAGAGATTGGATTTTGAACATATTAACCAACTTCAACATCTTCTCCTGTTGACTATAGCCAGAGGTGCTACATCATCCCCAGACTGTGTAACACTCAAGCTCCCACCCTACACAGACAGTGATCACAGCTCCCTGGACCAACCTTGCACTCTCTCTGGAACTCCAGCACAAGCCTTGGGCACTCCACTGACACATTCAGGCACCTTTCTAGGAATAAAAACCTCCAATCAATCAAAACAGGAAAGGCATCTCTGAGAAGGTGTAACAATATGTGAGTCCAAGATGTACAAAACCAACACAGAAACATAAGAAGCATAACAAAGAAGCAAAAGGTACATGGTAACAGATAAGTACTGGACTGTGAAAAAAAGGTATTGATGAAATGCCTGAAAGAGATTCTAAGGAATGATTGGAACGTTACAGAAAAATAGTTACATGAAACAAGGAAATGTGTGCATGACAAGGATTAGAATGCTACAGAGATACAGACTGAAAAAA